GCGAATAGATACATCGTATGTGTAATAAATTAGAATTCTATCAAACTGAACTACAAGCAACGCTGTCCGAAAATTGTATGTTTCTTTTGTACGTCTAGAAAATCTTCAGAAAGATGGTTTTACGTGTTGTATTGCAAAATCATTACAAATTAAGGGCTCGCTATATTTATAAATGACAAAATAACACTCATTCACTCATGATTAGGATATCTTAAAAACTACAGACAAAAAATCTCATGGATTAGTATTAATTTATTCTGTTAATAACGAGAGTTGTTGCAAGGAAGTGTTTAAGAAAATTTGAGAAAACTCTATTATTGTTTAAGCCTAACTAATTAAATTTTTAGGCGGGATAAAAATATAATAAATCAAAGTGTATAAATTATCTTGCCTTTCCTAGAGAATTTATTAAATATGAAAAGAATAGGTCAAAACGCCTTGAGCTTTTGTAAAAGCTTATAAATATTTTTTTCTCACGTAAAATACACTTTTATACAATTAGTTTCAGCTGCAAAACATGAATAAAAAGAGTTAAAACAACACTGGTCCATTAGTAAAAACGTTTCTTGGTTATCCCTACTTGTGAAAAGCAAGCGCGAGCTCATTGTAAAAGCAAACTCAAATCAAGGTAAATTTACACGGTGTGCGTGTTTAGAATATTCATTATTTTGACGACTTAGCATTTTAACAAAGCAATTACGTTCCATATACTTTCGCAATATAATTCAAGCTTTGCTCAAAATGTGTCAAATTATTTTGCAAACGTGATTTATGAAAAGTTATCAACGCATATTTCCTGGGTTATTTTGTTTGATTTTTATTCAAAGAGATATAAATTCGGGAGCAAAAAAGTTATGATAACCAAAGTTATTCATCTCAATACAACAGCATAACAGCTAATATTTTTGAGAGAAACTTGATTTTAAAATGGGTTAAATAAATTTGATAGAAGACATTTTTAGCAGAAAAAAGGTTTATTGACTTATTTTAGGTTGGTATTTATATTTAGTAATCTATTTACTTAGTTCCGATTAGCTGTTCATATATTTTACTCGAAGTTTGAAAGACAAATTGGAACATTTACTTATACAGAGGAAAAGTAAATATATTGGTTTCAGATAGTAAAATATTATATTTTCATTTCAGTTTGTTGGGATTGATTTACTTTGACGAGCAACATGTCTATACTCAAGCTATGCCCTCATTAGCCTGGCAAATTTCAGTTTATTCTCTTTCCAACGGTTTGAACACATTAATTGCATTAGTAAGAAACATTTCTCATGTTACCACGGAATTTATACTGTTCATCTTTTCAATTGCTAAGTTGTTTCTTGCTACACCAAACAAACAAGTTTCAAATTAACTCAAATTGGAACACATCAGCTCAATTAGTAAGGATCCTGTATCATGTTGGAGTGGAGGAAAATTGTAAATGCAATGCTTTTTAAGTAAATACCTTGATATACAATTAACGAGTAGACCTACTCAATAGTAAGATATTACACTCTCAATGCATCTTGATTGTATCGAACTAAGTATTTCCATAATCTTTGAGTCGATTCTTTTAAAGTCATCGGAAATTGTGACTTTTTTAAATAACGACTACTTCGCAATTGCTCGAATTCAAGCAACAGATACACTAGTATAATTTAAAAGCAAACTCTGATATTTTTTACAAGAAATACAACGATCAGGTGTCGTCAACTAAACTGTTGAATGCTTAATGCACAAGGTACTTTAGTCGGATAATTTTTACATTAGATCGTGTGTGCTTTTCATGAGAAAACTGTATTATAAGTGAGTGATGAAAGTGCAATGGACGATGGATCTCAGTAAATCTCTCTCTTTGTGGAAATATCTCCGGATGTATCAAAGAGATATTGACCACTCAGTCACTCACAGCTGCCCAATACATCATTCAACACTGTAATGTATGTTCAGCTGTACTTTACATGACGTCATTGTAAAACATGTGACGTAATCACACACAATTTTGTAGAACATATGTGTTAAGCAAAAGCATAAAAATAGACCAACTATATTGTTACCAGTATTTTATCAGACGTTTTAAGAAGCTGTCAAAACATGCCACCTTAATTGTTTTATGACTTAACTTTCCAGCTTTATAACTTTTGAAAACAGCCTAACTCACAGTTAATCATTCAAAACTCAACCAACCATGTTAACCTATCCAGATTTTCAGCCTATGAATCATGTTTGTCATTAATTAGTTTGTGTGACTCCCTGCTTACGTTATGATTCGTAACTAATAGTTTAATCAATTCGTTTGGAAAAAAATAATTTATAAATAAAAAACCTTTTTAAAACAAAACAGAAAATAGTTTTTAAATATGTGGAGAGTATAAATACTTGTAAGATTTAAAAAGAAAAACGTGGGGTGCATGCAATAGATAATTTACAATTACCTTCACCTATTGAACTAATGTATTATTATCAATTGCATGCACCCCACGTTTTTCTTTTTAAATCTTACAAGTATTTATACTCTCCACATATTAAAAAATTATTTTCTACTTTTTAGTAAGTTTAAAAACGTTTTGTTTTAAAAAGGTTTTTTATTTATAAATTATTTTATACTTTTTCGTTTTTAATGTGTGTGGATGTTAAATCTATTTCAAGCATCCATATCAGATTAAGACAAAGGCATGTGGGAAATCTAAGGTTTATTTGAGTTTCTTTTCATTAATTATATATTAGATTGAATGTATGGCCTACATACTAACTACAAATATATCAATCTATTTAATTTATTGTTTACTTTATATAACACTATTATTATTGTCAATACATTATTATATATATCTGCAATCAGATTGTTTATCTTTACTTTGAAATGTTTGTTTGTATAAAGAATCTCATTGGTCGCTAAACCTGTACCTCTTAACCTCTGCTCTTCGAACTTTCAAATTTAAGTATTTACAGCTGACTTAAATCAATTGATATATTTACATTCTTTCAAAATTTAAACATAAAAAATTTTGGAAGCCCATGGGGCGTAGCCCAAGGGAAATATGAAAATTAAATGATATAATATTGCATTGTCATCCATTTGTGTGCTATGTTTCAAATTTCAAGTCTCTAGCTCATCAAGAACTTCGTTTAAAATTGATATCAAAATTTGTAGGAAAGCGAGCTAACAAAAACAAGCCCATAAGGGAAATATAAAAATTAAATGATATCATATTGCATTGTCATCCATTTGTGAGCTATGGTTCAAGTTTCAAGTCTCTAGCTCATCGGGAAGTATCAACAATTGCAAGAAAACGAATTAATTAAAACAAGCCCATGGGGCGTAGCCCAAGGGAAATATGAAAATTAAATTATAGAATATTGCATTGTCTTCCATTTGTGAGCTATGTTTCAAGTCTCTAGCTCATCGGGAAGTGGGTATACAATTGATTGCAAAATTTGTACCGGACAAGAAAGCAAGCTAATAAAAACGTTTTAAAAATATATCATTGTTTTTAATTATACAATAGTTATTTTTAGCTCGGAGTCACTTTTAAGTATCGAATATTAATGTGTTTTTTATAAGAAAATTAATAAATTTCATTAACAGAGACACATATGTATAACTTCAAAACTAGTACTATGACTCAAAAACCTAATTCTTGCAGCGCTGTAAAGGAATTGTCAAAAGTATCAAATTCTGCTTAATAGTCGTGGATCATATAAAAATTAATAAAAGCTATTTTATATCTTGGATTTTATTTTACTGAGAAGTGAAAATATATTACACTGCATGTTACCAAAAGAGCTGTAACAAATACGCGAAATGTTGGTCGACTTATTAAGCATCAAATAAAGGGTCTGTAAATCTCACTGTGTGTCTTGTAAATTAACTACGAAATCCGAAACTAGGGATTGACAATACAAATAGGTTATCTTATTGTATTCAATTAATTAGCGAAATGTTAAAATATTAAAATTCAAAAAGAAGAAAAATAGGGGGTTACACAAGTTTACTTCTTATTGTATCTACTCATAATTAACACTCAATATCAATGAGCCCATTCAAGTTTTAAGAGTCGTTAGAGGCTAGCGGCCATCTTGGATAATTTCAAACAACTGCTGAAGAGTTATTTATCGTCCAAAAATATTTTTTCGAACACCAAAGTGATTATAATTTAAATATCTAGTATACTGTGAGATTATAAATTTCCTTTGTAGTTCTTTAATTGTTTTATGAGTTAGAATGCCTAGGCTCCAAGGACTATTAATCTCGAATTTAACTAAATTAACTGGTAGGCATAGTGAGTTATCCTTTAGTTCTCATTAAACGTTTCATGGGACATAAAATACTCACTTGACACTTCACAGATTGTTCTTATCCTTACAATACATTCTAATCTTTGCCAGGTGCTTTGTTTATCTTAACACTCCCTCCAACAACGAAGGGCGTAACTTTGGAGGGACAACAACACTCCTGGCGGCAGTTTCTTTAATTACACGTCTTTGACTGTAAAACATTTACTATCTTGACCTCTTCGTAAGCCAAATAAAATGGAACCCTAACTTAAACTTGGGAGTCACTGTTTCACATCACCTTTTATTAATATGCTATTTTATGTTCTCCTACCGATACAAAAGTTTTTTTTTTCTTTCAGATGATTTGCTTTGTTAGCTCTCTTCTTACCCCCTCCCCTACTTTCTGCCCCACACTGGCCTCTAGGCTTGTCCATATTTTCAACCTTTCCTACCACATTCTCTGGGGCTTCGAGGGTCAATACTTTTAATGCGGCCACTGGCAGTCGAAAGCCTGCAAAATGAGGTTAGCTCTTGAACGCAGAGAGAAAGTATTGAGATTATATTTTTTTAACTATTTTTTTATTGGGTAGCCTACTGATTAGTTGGAAAGTTACTTTGTCGTAATACCACATGGCAGCTTCTTTAAAACTATATAAATAAAATATAAGAATACCCTTCACTGTAAACATGGTGTCCTGTAAGGTGACTTTGTCGACATGGGGACATTGCAGTGGAGATTGTCGGAGTGGAAGCACACTCAGTTATGGAGGTCGCTGCTGTAATAGCAAATGTTGTTGCTTGATGTGATTGTTTAAGTGCTAATCAAAGGAAGATTTTTATTCCTTTAACTGTTTTAGTTGGCATGATGCTGTGAAGGGTTTTGTATAGGCAGATAAGCCAACAAAGTGATGCAATTAAGAATTTTGCGTTAGAATGGTATAAGGTTTTGGGAGATAGATTGGCCAAGTGATGAAGATACAAAGAAGATCACGGAGACTTTAGTCGCTTCCACCATGATGTAGGGAGATCAGGGGCCAAGAGTCTAGAATATTTCAAATTTGAGATAAAGTTTTATTCTGAATAAAACCATATAAAACCTTCTCTCGCATTTGAAATATTTCTAATGAAATCATGTTTCCAGGTAACGAAATTTACAATTAAATTGTATTATAATCACCTGTCCTTGGTTACCAAGGGACAACTTTATCGACTTGACCTGATGCTTTGATAAAGTGTAATAATGTAATTTATTCTCAGGGTTCTAGGAAAACCCCGTTTGTAGCGCTGAAAATATTTTACAAATTGTTAGAATAACAATGGTTATTTGGCTATTCGTTACACATCAAAAGATATTTAATATTGACCATCTAAATTCTCAACTGCTACTCTTTTACACACATGGAAGGAATAGTTTTTTAATAGACACAAATTCACATACATGTAAGATACTGGAAGAAGGTACAGAAATACTTATGGGAGGTGTAGAGAAAGTAATACACAGAAATAACATAACATACAAACAGTGCAGATGTAAAACTTTTACTTCAAATTAAAAAAATATATATTAGCTGCTGTACCCGTGCTTCCCAACGGACAGAACGCTGAAGAAATAATTTTTTTTTAATAATTTGTATAAAATAGTTACACATTCACACTTGGTTTCAGGGAAAAAATTGAATTGGATCACTTATTTAAAAAATATATTTATTTTAAAACTAGGCTAAATTATGAGGCTACCTAGTACTAATTATAGATAAATACCTAAATAAACTTATACTTTAAAATACGTCTAAAGCTTAAGAACTGATATCACAAAAATATTTTCTTATTTACAGCCAGAAAAGTAAATTTTAAGAATCGCAGTAACGTTTATGTTTTGCTAAATGAGGAAGGACATCAACATAAACACGTTTAGGGCAAAACAGCTGTTAGGGATATAACTCAGTTAACACCTCAGATTTTGTAACTCTTTGACATTGCTTTGTTTTTATACTTACATTTTATTTTTTAAACTTGCCTTATAAGAATTCTAATGTTTTGTTTATCATTTTATTTGATTTATGTACATTGTGTTTTGGAAACCGTTCAAAAATAGTTTAAATTAAAATGTATAAGTGTATGTAATTATAGCTTTAAGAACAAATGTCTACTTCCAGTACAGTGGCTTAAACAGGAGCAACGGTAAGTGGTTTTACCTGTCATTGGTAAATGTGCTCTTCAGTCTACCCTCGGGATCAGACCACTTTAGAGATCTAGTGCTGTGACAAACATGAAACGTCGATGAACATACTTCAGCTAACACAGCAGTCAGATTATGTAGAGTTGCACTGTTGTCAAGACTTCGTTAAGTATAAATAGCGTATTCATTAGAAATTCGACAAGATTTAGTTTTGTTTAAGACATTGAGTCAACATGTTGAATACTCTTAAATAGTTTAATAGCTTAATTGTGGTTTTTAATGTATAAAATATTATTAGATTAGAAAAAAGTGCAGTACATATTGGGGCCTTAAATACTGCTCACTTTTATATGCTACTTATCGATTCTTAACATGTTTCCGAGAACTGTAAGGTACTGTTGAGAGGCAAATTAGTGCACTATTTACTGTAAAGAAATTAACGATAGAAGATATATTTTGTGTAAAATCAAAAAATATGTGTGTGTTTTCCTCATTTCTGTTTAATTTGATTTCTATTTCTATTTCTACAGGCGACGAACGTAAGACTGCCGTGTATTGATTATTTCAAGTTTCCAAAATCCAATTCTTTTGTCACTGAAACCAAAATTACAATTCGGTAGAAGTTTAAAAGGAGTATTAATAAAATCATTAGATGCTAAATAAGTCAATCCATATTTTTCTTACTTTACCGCCCTTCTGGTAAATGTACTGCAATCCATACTCAACATTTACAAGTGAAAATTATAAAAAAAACGTATTACATTGAATAGTTATTATTATATTTCATACAATCCACAACTATTAAGGGCGATGTAGTACTTTGTGAATACCTTATTGAATATTCCTCGCAGCAAGTTTTGAGTTTAGAAAGCCAGTAATGTATGCAGCTTTTGTACGAGTTTAAAAGTCGTAGAAACTTCTTAGCTTGGGAACACAGCTGTGAGTCAGAAAATGGTTCATAAAATACATTGTTATAAAATGTATCCATCATACCATTTATATTTTCAAATAGAGTACTGCCATTTATCTTACAAGTAAATCATGTGTTGCAATTCTGGTGTATTTTTCACACATTCCACCTGATATATTATTTTATACAAGTAAGTGATACGAGTAACCGAATACTCGAAACAGAAATGTCCGTGTTTTCAAATCGTGTGTATGTTAGCACACAGAATACCAATTCTCATTTTTATAATTATTTTGATCGATTACTAAACAAATATCAAAATTTACTTGAAAAGCTTTTTGGGACCAGCACTCTCCATCGAAGGTTTTTTTCTAGCTTTAACAGCTTCTAGAAAACCAGGGAAACAACCCTGACTGTAACTTTTCTAGTTTCTTACGTGATAGTTTATACCGACACATAAGTACTGAAACGATGGGTCACGTCTGTATAGAGTTTAAGTTCATAGAATATTATATTTTCTTCAAGTTATCATTACCGTATCCTGTTTCTTTTTTTAACATTCTTCAAACACTCCATATCGGCTTTTGACACCTTTTATCAACGCAATTAATAATTATTTTCCACTTGTAGATGAAGTAGAATACTCTAAATGTTAAATTAACTTGTATTATACTGATTAGAGTAAAACATTTTATATGAGATAAAATTCACAAACAGACTATACACGACATATAATACGAAAAACACATCGAACATAGAATAAATTGTATTTATAGGCAAGCACTTTACTTTGTATATACGGTTATCTGTGTGTTCTATAGTTTAACGTATTTACAGCCACCAGGAATAAAAAAGAGATAGCCTACTGTTATAAAATTAGTTGAAGAACCTTTTGACTGGTGGTTTAAAGTTTTAGAGAACGAATTACTGTCAGACACGAAGTTACGAATAGTTGAACCATTTCAGATTTATGACGGTTGGAATTAATTAAGAAAGTTTATCAGGTTTAGGGAACGTTTGCAACAATCAAACTGTTGAACTCATTGGACGTTTCTTGTTACAGGTGATCACCCCGACATATACAAATATTTGGAAAAATCAAATACGGCTGATGTAGATAGTATTACTTTTTAAGAACAAATTCAATTAAAATATTGCTAACGTATGTAGCAAGTGATCGATACTTGAAACAAACTAAAAAATACAATTTAAAGCCAAAATTTGTGACAAGTTTATCACATTAGTTGTTTTGAATGGTTTACTGTGAGTAGGTCAGGTTTTTAACCCTTGCCTAAAAAAAGAATAAGTCGTAAATAAATCAAGGTAGCATGTTTTGACGGGTTCTTTTTTATTTCTCTAAAAGAACTGGTCAAAATATCGTTTATCACTTGATAGAAATGTTTACAAAAATTGTAAATTTTACCCTACAAGCTTGCGTCTTTAGATTATTTGTGATTTATCGATTGCGTCAATAAAATAATTCTTCGCTGGAACCAAAGTTGACGCTTTAGGACCAATACTTTGTAACTTTCTAACTTTAATTCGTTGGTATTTGGTGATCATTGGTATTTGGCGATTCTTTTCATCATAACTTTAATCACTTTTAATCCAGTTATTTGGTTATTACATATCCAGTATATTTCAGTTACAATATTAGTTCTTTGGAGACCAACCCTATCTCACAATATGACACGCTGCCTAGTTAAAGGTTCTGTAATTGTATAGAAAAACACTGACTTTAGAAAATCAACCGTATCTCACTTTTCTTGCATGCTGTTCATGACTTATTTTAATTTTTTTATTTTTTTATAATATGCTAGTTTGTTTAAACTTCTGATAAATCGGAAGTTCGTCTTTTTAGCAAAAATATCAACTTTCGAAATACCGGAAGTTGGTCTCCTACGGTTAGTAAAGAAAAACACTTTCGCTACTCTAAATATAGATGGCCACTATTTATCCTTGCAGTTTTACTACTAGGACAGTTATAGAACAAATACCATTTATACAAAGCGTAATTACAAATATACACAAAAACATAGTCCTATTGGGGATATTTTAAAATATCTCCCCCAATACACAAATAAATATATGCTGAAGTGGAATGAAACAATTGCCTTCAACCGCAATGAATCACAACCATCAACAATAAAGTACTACTAAAATATTTTTAAAAATATGAATGATCTAACTTTAGACACATTTTGTCATCAGGCATCCATTATACAAAGCAGCACTTATTTAGCAGTAATGTTGTGTAAAATATAGATGAACATACATTACAGTGTTGAATGATGTATTGGGCAGCTGTGAGTGACTGAGTGGTCAATATCTCTTTGATACATCCGGAGATATTTCCACAAAGAGAGAGATTTACTGAGATCCATCGTCCATTACACTTTCATCACTCTCTTATATAGCTCCCTCACGAAAAGCACACACGATCTAATGTAAAAATCCTCATAACTACAACAAAAACATAATCAACATCAACTAAAATATGTATCGCATTATAGATTAACAATGGCTGTTCATTTCATTTATGTACTAATAAAGTTATAGTGAATAGACCACTATGTTAAATTCATTTCCTGAACGTTTTTGCTTAAAGGGGATATGGCAGTGAACAATTTAAATGTATTCTGTAAGATTTATTTAGCCTATTTTGGAAACCTATAGATTATACATTATTGTTTTATTTCTAATTCACTCATTT